TAAATTTTTTTACTTTAAGGATACTTTTCATAAAATGCATTCTGGTCTTTAGGAAAACTTGCCTGCAAAAAAATGTTTAATGCAATAATTAGTTATTATTATTATTGTAATTGGTGATTTAAGTTTACTAGAATTTTTAATGCGTTATGATTTTTTGCGGAAAAATTCAATATACATGCGATTTTTAAATACACCTCTTTCAAGAAAGAAATCTATTTCTTAGTTTACTTGGTGCAATCGTATTTCCTCCACCAGTCGGCAAACATTTTAACTTTCGCTATAGTGTTTTGTTCTTTTTGTGGCTTACGCCATTTTTTCGCATCCAACTCCAAAATACCCCCAATGATTTCCTGTAAAATGAAGACACGGATGCGGAAGTCAGTATACATATATTTAATAAACAAACCACATCTCTGCCTTACCAACGCAAAATTTGCCGGAAATCGATCTTCATCTTCGATTACATGCGCAAACCCCGATGCCATTCCAAAATTAACCCAAAAATAAGGCAGCCCCTTGGGAATACTATTACGTAAACCCTTTCCATCTCGACCCAAGGATATTAACTGCTTATTTACGCTCCACTCAAGCTCTGATTCTTCGACAGCTTTCTTAAAGTAGAAAGGAGCCATTTCCGCCTGCTTGTCTGGTATTGGTACACAGTGTATATTGAGATGAGGTCGACGTGAGAGATGACTTGCGATTTCAAAGAACACTATATCCTTTTTCTGCGCAGCAAACATTCGCGTAAGCGCTTTTAAAAAATCATTGACTTCCGACCAGGTGTTTTCATCCAATTGAGTGCAGCAACTGACATGCTGTGTAGTGCTAATAATGCAATGTCCAGGTTGCAAACCTATATGCCATGGCAAAGCTAGGTAGACCTGCTCACCCATTGATACAAGCAAACTTTTATCCATTTTTGCTGAATCGAAGCAAAATCTGCAGTTGTCCAATTGTGCCGATAGACGTTGATGCTCATTAATAGCGCGTTGCATTTCTTTACGATCAGTAGAAGACCGCGAAACGTCTTTCCGCACCTCATCAGCGAATATGTCGTCCAAATCATCGTTTGGATTTTTATGCTTACCAGCAATTTTTGCGAATTCCAAATTTGCATCGGTTGCACTCGTATATTTCTCATGTTCAAACTATTGAAATAAAATTAGAAGCGATCTTAATTTTCAGACACAAATTTAAACACAGCTTACCATTTGTTTAATATCATACTTGTCATCGTCAGGAAAGTAACGCATGCGCTCACCATCTGGCGCATGTGTCTCCAGCCGCCTCTGCTTTTTGCGAGCATTACGGCCGCCATACAAGTCACGTTCATTAACATCGCGTGATGCCTGTTCCAGAGGCCGTGTATTTCCGCGTTCATCGGTTCGCATGAGCAATACATGCTCTTCTTCCTTCTCTTCTGTTTGCTCGCCAGATCTACCGCTGGTTGTTGTAGGTTGCGCAATTTTACACTCTTTAAAGGCTGCACGATCTTTTCTTGCATTTTCCAATTTCAGTTTGAGCTCAGCGGCCAATTCGTTGTTTCCCATAATTTCTGCCTTCAGCAGCTTTGCGCCCAACTCATTCATTTGCTGATCAGTTAGAAAGTTCGTTCCTATAGCGGATTTTTTCGCTCCTTTCTCTTCGCCATCGCTACTCTCTGAACTGTATATAGACATGAAGGCTGCTTCTTTCTTCCCAGACTGCAAATCAACCGTAGTCTTTCGCCAGCTTTTTGATGCACCACTTCCACTGGCCTTATCTGAAGCAGACGCAAAAGCCTCTGTTAGCCGCTCATCATCACTGTCATCTTCATTCTCCTCCGTTGGCTTTTTAAAACCTGGCAAACCGGTGCCAGTTGTTTTCCAATACGGATTAAGCTCACGTGTGCTTTTAGCAGGATCGTAAGCTTCATAAGTTTGTTTAACAGCGGATTTATCTTTTCGCTCCTTGCTAAATGTCTTCAACAGCAAAGTATCCGTCATCCAGCTGTCACGTGTTAAGGGCTCAGAAGAATTTATAATTGGGGGCGGCTTTTCAACCCACTTTTCTAGTTCATCGTTATCACCGTCTTTTTTGGTACTATTTTTGTTACCATTTGTTGATCCGCAACGTTTGCGTCTAAGCTCCTTTTTCAACTTTTTTCTGACGTCTTCTTCGGAAGAACTATTGGAACTACTATCAGTATCCGATGAACTATCCGAATCCGAAGTAGATGTTGATGAACTTTCCTTGCCTTTATTTTGCTTATTAGAAGTCGTTTTATTTGATTTTTTCTTCTCATCCCCGGATGTACTTTCATCACTTGGCATATCCCATGAGTCTGTCCCCGAAGATGAATATTCTTTTTTCTTATTCCTCTTCTTCTTTTTCTTGGAAGAACCGCTCGGCTCGCCATCGGATGAACTATCGTCACTGTCTACTTCCGAGGTATCCGGGTCCGACTCTGTAGAAGAGTACTTCTTCCGTTTTTTGCTATGCTTACCTCTTTTCTTAGATTTTTTTGATGTGACTTTCTCCTTCCTCCTCTTTGATCGTTTAGATTCACTGGCTCTTTTGCCAAGCTTGTCAATTTTCGACGCTACTGTTGGAAGCATCCAGTTAGTCTCCCCACGTAACTCCCGTGCCGCGTCGCGTTGCAACCTTTGCTCTCTACGCAGCTTGGCCTTTTTATGATGTTCATATGTATATATAAAATTATCCGATATTATTTTCATAAACTTATAGCAATGTACATGCATATGTATGTAAAAAATTATCAGATTATTTTTATAAACTTATAAACTGATTCGGAATAAAATCAGATATCACCTGGTCAAGCATTTGATCCCTGGCTTCTCGAAGCTCTTGCCGTATCCTCTCTTTGTCTCGCGCGCTTTCAAATTTTATAAAATCCATTTTCTATTTTTGTGTTAATACTTTTGATAAATTTACTTTTTTTTTAAACAAAATACAAAACCTAGATAGCTGTCATATAAAACTAGAGTCACCAGCTGTTCAGCTAAAAGTAGAGTTGTCAAACTATCGATGGCACTATCGATAGTTTCAATTTTTTTAGACTATCAATACTCATTGATAGTTTTTTCTTATACTATCAAAAATATCGATAGTTTAGTAGGACTATCGATCATCTCTACCAATTATTTTGAAATTATTTGAATTTTTTAATTTGAATTAAAAATTTTGTTTTTTAATGTGATGCCGACGTCATATTCAAATATGCACGTATTTAGGCCAAAATACATACATATGTTAATCATAAATCCTGTTTTGTTTGTATAACTTGTGTTTGTTTTTGAACTTTCTAAAAAGAGAAGTATTTTGGCTAAGCGTTTACTTAATTTTGAACGATTATAACTTTTATAAGATAATATTTATTTCACTATGATCCTGTAAAAACAAAGCAACCTAACTGATTTAGCGCTATCGATAGTGCTATCGATAGTTTTGTTTTTTTCGAGACTATCGTGAATATTGATAGTTTTTCTGAAAACTATCAAAACCATCGATGGTGTGACTATCGATAGTTTGACACCTTTAGCTAAAAGTGCTGTTAGACGGGGCAATGCATGCGCTTTTCCATCGCATTTTGCGCTCAAAATGCGAAATCGAAGTCTACTTTCCCGTGTAGAGAGGCAGAAAGCCATTTTGGGAAGATTTGCAGAAATAACTTTCGGAAATAAAAATTGTAAAAGTTCGGTTGAGTTCGGTTAAAAGTGGCAATGCAAGCGCTTTTCATATTTCATCTTTATTCAGTCTATGATTTACAATCTTACAGACTAGAAGTACATCTCCGCATCTTGCTGTCAAAATGTGAAAGCGAAAGTATACTTTCCTGTGTAAATCAAATCACTTTCGGAAATAAAAATTCAAGGTGTAGCCTCAACTGAAATTACCCAAATCGCTTTCGAGATGACATGTATATTTTAGGATTTCTACCAATTTTCATGAAAAATTAATTAATTCAGGATTGAATTTTTACTTATAGAACAAAATTATTAGTTAAAGTTACCATGTGTTTGTTGTTAACAAGGCGAATTCTTATTACAACAACACATCATTTTGACAACCTGTTCGCCCACAGCGAAAGTCTAATTCGCCAGTAACACCACCTTGTATATCATTCAGGAGGACCGCGGCCATAATCTAAATTGCTATACAAGGTGGTGTTACTGGCGAATGAGACTTTCGCCTTGGCCTTGGTCATATCAAAGAACGTAAATCTATAAGAGACAACTCACTGAAGCGTGGCGAGTGAGTCTATAAGTTTTGCAACAAGATGAATTTATACAAGGTGGTGTTAGTGGCGAATTTAGAATACAGCAACCACATGTATTTTGTATTGCGGGTGTTATGTCAAATCTCAATTCGCCCCAAAGTTTACATGTATTTTGTTTTTGCTTTTGATGGATGTGCTGTCAAATCAGTATAAGCAAAAACCACGATTGAGAGAATACAAAGGTTGCGCCGATCTCGGACCGCTATTCCTCTCTTAACGAATTTGACAGAATCGTTGTTTGCATGACGTCACACTGGTGCAACTTGTTTACGTTTTCCTTGCAACATTTTTTCTTCTTCTTCCATTCTTGCTCACGTTTTGGCATTTCTCTCTCGCAATTGCACCAGTGTGACGTCACACAAAAGTTATTCTCAAAAATCCTCTCTGATCGGCGCAATCTTGTATTCTATCATTCTTGATCAAAAACAAAATACATGTAAAGCGAAGAAATCAGCCGAATATCGATAGCTTGCCACCTCTAGGACGAATTGCACTTGAACTTCTGAAACCAGACAGATAAATAATTAGGATACAGATGGCGCTATAAGTGGAAATCACAAACATAGATGCCGCTATACTAAATAAATACTAGGGCTGCTACGATTTAGTCTTTTTACCTTCTTTATTCCTTTTATTAGCTCGGGATGTGACTATGTAATATTGATGCGCCTAAAAGATGCAGCGATTTCTATTCTCAAGTTACATACCTGATGACAGTACGAATGGCAATTATAATAGGGAGGTTTTAGTTTTTTAAACTATATATATATATATATATATGAGGAAATTAAAATTGACTGCACTTGAACTGAGTTGCAGTGAGGAAGATGAAGGCTTTTTTCGTCAGTTAGGAATTTCGGCGATCTCTGTCTTAAAATACACTACTCAAAAAAATTAAGCAAGGTTTAAAAAAAAGGAAATTAAAGATGAATATAGAGGATGTCATCACAAGTCTCTTTAAAAACGGAATTAAAAAAAGCTGAATCAAAACCAAATTTCTCTTTTTGGACACATCTCAAACCTAAATTATTTCATTATCAACTTCTTCAGCTGTTAGTTATGCTCATGAAGCCATTAGGTCTCAAATGTAAACCCAAGCTAGCGTCCTCTTTAAGTGCCAGCATATTTCGAGCGCGAGTCTCTTCATCATCGTTTTTATGTAAAGCAAAGTGTACCCGCAGCTCAGCAGCCAACCGGAAAGCGCTGGGACACAACTCGCATTTATAAACATTTTCACCGAGGTGATTTCGCAAATGTTTGATTAGGTCGTTACTTTGGGCAAAAGCGCGTTCACAGTACTTGCATTTGTAGGGCTTTTCGCCGGTATGAGTACGCATATGGCGGCGCTGTTTGTCCATTAAAACAAATCTAGTCGACAGAATCAAAAATTAAACTCAGAAAAATTATATAAATATTACTTCACCCGGCTTGCTTAACTTACCGCATGTCACAGTATTTGCATTTGTACGGTTTGTCGCCGTTATGGTACATTTTATGTGCCTTTAAATCATAACTTTTAGCAAATGAAGCACTACAAATGTCGCAATTATGCGGCTTGATCAGGCGATGTATGACTTTGTGTTTAGACAAATCGCTGTTGCAAGCAAACTTTTTGGGGCATTCGGGACACTCGAACCGCTTGACGCCCGAATGCCGTATTAAATGCTGCTTCATATTGCTGCGAAAGGTATCAATAAATTAATCAATTTTTCATTAGTCTGCTGCGATAATCTTTATAATACCTTGAACATCTAAATGATTTGCCACACAACGAACACAAGAACGGCTTCTCGCCTGTATGCGTACGGAGATGGTCAACTAGGCTAGCACGAAATAGAAAGCCTGCAATAAATATTTATGTATTTTGAAAAAATATGCATCACATATTAGCAATTAAACTTTCCTTTATTGCAAAATTCACAAACATGACGCGCCGGTGCTGCAATAGAGGCTCCTTCAGAATGACTTCGTTTTTTATGGTAGGCCAACATACGCTTAGAACTATATGTTTTGTCACATAAATCACAGGCGTATATCTTTTTTGCTTCCCCTTGCGGTTGATCAGTATGTTTCTGCTTATGTTCGTGCAGTGATTCTGGTTTGTTGAATCGGCGCCCACAAATATCACACTTAATTTGAATACGCTGATCTGTATTTAAAGGCTTTACAGGCAAATTTTTGCTCTCCTCCCATTTTTCATGCCGTTTCAAGTGCCTATTTAGAAGCCGGCGCTGGGAAAACGATTTATTGCACTTGCTGCAGGAATGTGTATGCGTGCTGAAACTAGTAATACATATCATTATCAAAGTTGTCCGTATTCAATCAATCTTACGCCTCGTTTATTTGTTCCTTTTAAACATTTATTACATACTTTTTAAAGTTACTTTCTTTTCCAGCACGAAAGTTGGGCATGTCGCTTGTACAACTAGCTACTAGACTACTATCAACTAAGTTAGTCCCCACTGCTGATGCCTCATTCGTTTTATCTTCACAAATGCATTCATCTCTATCAATAAACTCCTCGATTTTCAGAAATTGGTCGTTTTGCAATGGGTCATTAGCCAACGGCACTTCAACAGCCTCGGTCACAATTTCTCCCTCTTTGGCGTCCACCATTGAAATCTGCTTTGGCCCTTCTGTACTTTCCGTCAATAGCACTGGGATCATCAGTTTTACATCAAGATATCTTTTATCTAATATTTCGCGCATTTGTTGTTCGGATTGTATGCACATTTGCTGGAAGCGATATACGCTCAGTAAAAGCTTTAAACATTCTCGGCAAATTTTTTGTGGCAATTCATCACTGAAGTTTACTTGTAGTTGCGGTGTAGTGGTTGATAGTAATTCAACGACTCGCATGGTGCCGCATTCTGCAACCGTATCGAAGATAGAGTGGCACTTTATCTCTGCGGTTGTGGCGGCAAACGTTTCCTCTTCAGCTACCACATGCATGCAAGTCCTGCAGATGCTATCGAAACTTAAATCGCTTGCAGCGCCCATATCTGCATACTATTTGCCTATTCAGCCGCTTTTGTTATCAGAATTAACACCAAATAATTTCAAAGGCAATAGCAAGGCGAATCTATACCACGATCAAAATATAAATAAATAAATAATAAAAGCAAGACGAATTTATTAGAGGTGGAGAAAACACATTAAAAGCTAACTCGACCAAAACTCGACTGTATACAAGGTGGATAAGCTGATTTCAAGGTGAATTTGAACTGTTTGTCAAAATAATGTGTTTATTGTAATTTTGTTTCGCTTTGATTGTCAATGTGCGTATGATTTGTTTTTGCAGTTTTTGTTTTTGGGTGGCCTTGTATAAATTCGCCTTGAGGTGGTGTTTCCGGAGCCGTTGAATTCACAAGGACTTTATACAAGGGGAATTAATAAAAGATGGTGTTACTGGCGAATTTTGATTTTCGCCGCAGCCCTTCTGAATGTCAATATGATAAGTTTGTAGTAAACAAGGCGAATTCATATTACAACAAACACATAATTTTGACACTCACAAGGACCCCGGCGGAAATCTAAATTCGCCAGTAACACCACCTTGTATAAATTCGCCTTGACTTTGTACGTTTTGTCAAAATGATGTGTCTGTTGTAATTTTGTTTTGTACTGTTTGTCAAAATGCGTATTATTTGTTGTTGTAATTTTTGTTTTTGTTCTGCCAACACCCAAGGCGAATTTATACAAGGTGGTGTTAATGGCGAATTTAGATTACAACAACGACAACCATATGTATTTTGTCTGGCCAACACCACTTTGTATAAATTCGCCTTGCTTTGAACACCACATTGTATGAATGCGCCTGGGTGAATGTCGCCATTCGATAGTATTTGCAATTATCGATAGTACTTTTCTTTCGATACCAAGTAGGTATCGAAACTACGATTCGAGTGAAAAATGTAGGTGGATTCGAAACAAAAGTATCGAGTAAATACTCGTATTTACTTGTATCGGAACATCCCTAAGCTCTAGTAGCACATCAAAACATACTCTTCCTGGATGAAGTCATTTCTGCAGTAGTTTTCTTCAGTTTTATTCATTCAGGATTAGCCCAGAAAAATGCCGCTTTATGAAACAGTAATGCAGGAGAAACCACCTGTAGTTCTAGACATCGGAACTGCATATACCAAGTATGTGTGTGTGAATACTGGGGTCTTTAAAAACTAAGTGACGTCATATTTTGATTCCGTAGGCTGGGTTTTGCTGCAGAGGCTTATCCACGTAAGATCATACGGACAGAGGTCATACTCTCCAGTAGTGGCCAAACAAAAGCTTTATTAGAATATGCTAGCACAAGTGATTTATACGATCAATTTGTTGATTACTTGCAAATGATTTTCTTCAAGTAAGTCTGTGAGTATTGTTTGTGATTGCCTTCTTAAAATCTGAGTCCCCTAGGCACTTGCTTGTTATACCAAAAGAGCGGAAGATAGTGATTGTCGAGAATGTGCTGGGACAAACATTAATACGTGAAACTCTCGCGCGTGTTTTGTTTCGCCATTTTGAGGTGTCATCTATTATGTACGTGCCTTCGCATATGATTGCACTGGCCACACTCGCTGTACCTACCGGCGTTGTGGTTGACATCGGCTATTCTGAAACGACTGTGATGCCAGTTTACTGCCGCGTTCAAATCCTACAAGCATTCCAAGATCAAGCTTACGGAGGACGCGCTATACATGCAGAAATCAAACGACAGCTTTTGGAAGCAGGTGTGAAAGAAAAATATCTTACTGAGTCTGTATTAGAAGATATAAAGGTGCGTACCTGCTTCGTAACGAATTTCAAACGAGCCAAGGCCTACCGCAGCAGTCAAACACCAGAGCCACCTCCCAGCGTGGAATACCCGATCAACGGCGAAGAGATTATCAGTATACCAGGGCGACTTCGTGAAACGGCTTATGAAATAATGTTTGAAGAGAATAATGATCGTGATAGTCTACCACATTTGATATTGCGCGCGATACTTAGTTGTCCAATGGATGTTCGACGCTCATTAATCGAAAGTATTTTTGTGGTAGGAGGTGGCGCTATTATTATGGGATTGCTGTCACGTCTAAGAGCCGAAATGCAGTATTTAGCAGAAAAGGATGAAGAATACAATAAGAAACTATGTGGCGATATCAAATTTAAATTTCATAAAACAATCGGGAGAGAAAACTTTACAGCCTGGCTGGGCGGCTCGCTTTGCGGCGGTACTGATCTCATACAAACGCATTCGCTTACCAAGGAAGCATACGTGAAGAGTGATCGCGTACCAGACTGGATTAGCTTAGCAGATAAACGTTCGACAGGATCATAAGCCAAAGTAAAACAGTTGAATTTCTAACGTTCTACAATCCGTACTCGCATACTAAATTAGGCATACATCATTATTTAATAGAACACATCGCACATCTTCAAAAGAGGCACAACTGAAAAATCAGATCCGAAAATATAACCATTATACAAAAACAAGTACAACAGTAGTTTTATAGTTAGAGAATATCGAGCCCTAACGCCCAAAATAACGTAAGCAACATTTTTTTCAAAATTTCAGAAATATTCCTAGAGCATATAGATGCATTTCTGCATCAAAAAGAAAATTTTGAAAAAAATGTCGCTTCCGTTATTTTGGCAGTTAGGGCTCGATATAATCATGAAGAAAAAAATGTTTGCAGTAATTTAAATAAATTCTACGAATCGATTAATGTAGAATCAATCGACAAAAATTTTTTTTAGTTGTGGCCCTTTTGAAAATATTATGCTATATGTACATACATCGTTAATCTCAATGCGAAAGGTCCTATTTACCACTTTTTCTGAAATGTGTTTTTTTAGATATTCCGTTATTTGTTTCTCAGATACACTCATTTACCGAAATTGAAAGATAACTGCGCACCATGGAAGTCTGTGTACATGTAATTTGTCTATTTAGACGAATTTTTGCTGTTGATGAATAAAGTGATCTTCAAAATTTATCATAAACAATGAAATGAAATAAGTTTAAGAAGGCAATATCAAAATTATTCAGAATTCATAAAAAGAAAATGTAGGAGCAACCATGATAACAATATATGCTATGTTTTTGTCATGGGAGCAACTGCTAAAAATTACTATAGGCTCAATACACATTGTCATGATGGTCTCCGCATTCAACCAGTTTAAGGTATTCACATAAAATCACACTTGCCGTCATACATCTACACAACATGAACTTCATTTGATTGTTTTAAAGAGCAGCATTAACATTTATTGCCCCAAACCAGGCGCAAAAATGGCTTTGCGATTGTATTAGGAGCAATTCTTTCAGTGCACGGCTTTGGTTTGAACTTAGTTTAAACGCTCAAGATTACCGGTAATTTGGTAATTTTTACCGTGGATCTACGGTAAAAGTTACCGTCAAATCTTGTATGACAAATTAAGTAATTCAATCAAATAATTAAATTTAAATAAAAAGTAAAATATAGATCAACGACTTAACCTGAAAAATAAATTGTTTTTACTTTCAATGCAATTTTTATATATCGACCCGTATTTGCGATTTCATCGTAAGCAATAAACAATTTTTTTTTGTTGCAAACAGGTTACAAATACTATGCAAAAAAAGCAAAATGAATTTTATCGTTTGCTGTTTATACTTTTTCGTTCCTAAAATTTTATCGTAAGCGACACTGCGTGTACAGAGCTTTAGTTTTAACCGAAGTTCCATCGGCAGATGCAACAACTGAATGCTTCAAAATCAGCTTCTTTACCTCATCATTTTAGACATTTAGCTTTAAATATGTTCAGCTTATTCTGCGGATTGGCAGTGTTTATATTTAATTGACTTAAAATTAAGTTTTTCAAACTATCCTTAAAGTACCGATTATACAACATAAAAGCTATCGCAAGCGCCAATTTTTTTATAACTTACCTCTCAGCATGTTCAGGAAAAATATCGTAAGCGCCATTTTACCTTTAAACAATAAAATCCATAAAAATTGTTGCACTGTTTAAGGGAGAGTTAAAAAAAACTGTCGTATAAAATTTACTTTTTGTCGCTTAAGATAAAATCGCGTATACTGTAGTGTTTTAATAAAACAACTTCTCCAGATAAGTTGGCCATTTTGTGTTTAAAGCAATATTTCATTCGGTTCCCAAACAATGTTTTAACGATTAGATAGCCATAAGCGGGGTTTAAGATGCCCTAATAAGAGATGCAACTTTTTAAGGGCGACATATTTTAGTCCAAAGTCGAACATTCTAATACCATTTAAGTTGTTTTATAAAAATGTCACAAATAAACACTACACATACATACATATTTACGTATTTACATACATATGTGTACGTTTTTTTTTACATTATCAGCTTTGTTAAATTAGAATCCCTTTGCTTAGGAAACTAGCATATGTTTTTGCATAGTCTTCCATGCAATATCTTGCGCAACGTCTGCAAAATTAATTGGTATCTTTATAATTGTCATAGCAGTAACTAAAATATATTATAGGATTTATTCAATACATCTATTGATATCCCTATGGACTGGGCGATCTTTGAACCCTAGATAAACGTTTTTTTCATAGTTTAGAACTAGTTATCCACTCGCCTTCCGATTGAAACTAACAGACGACTTCATTCGCTCTACCCCTCACCGAAATGCGCGTTACAGACACTTTAAGATTGTTTGAAATATGGATTGGAAATCTATTCCGACAAGCCATAAGCTTAATCAAGAACAAGTCCTGGTTTCACCTTGATATTGGCCCGCGAAGCCATTTTAGGCAGCAGTCCTTGTTTTGTTGTTAAATTTAATCGCAATCTTGCCTCATCTTCTCTGAGTGCGAGCATATTTCGCGTATGCGTCTCTTTATTATCATTCTTATGTAAAGCAAAGTGTACGCGCAGCTCAGTTGCCAGTCGGAAAGCGCTCGGACACAACTCACATTTATAAACATTTTCACCNTAAGATTGTTTGAAATATGGATTGGAAATCTATTCCGACAAGCCATAAGCTTAATCAAGAACAAGTCCTGGTTTCACCTTGATATTGGCCCGCGAAGCCATTTTAGGCAGCAGTCCTTGTTTTGTTGTTAAATTTAATCGCAATCTTGCCTCATCTTCTCTGAGTGCGAGCATATTTCGCGTACGCGTCTCTTCATTATCATTCTTATGTAAAGCAAAGTGTACGCGCAGCTCAGTAGCCAGTCGGAAAGCGCTCGGACACAACTCACATTTATAAACATTTTCACCGAGGTGATTTCGCAAATGTTTGATTAGATCGTTACTTTGGGCAAAAGCGCGTTCACAGTAATTGCATTTGTAGGGCTTTTCGCCGGTATGAGTACGCATATGACGCCGTTGATGATCCATACAAACGAAGCTAGGCGGGGATATTTAAAAATTATCATGGGATTGGTGATTTTTTTTTTCAAACTTACCACTTCTCGCAGTATTCACATTTGTATGGTTTATCGCCATTATGATACATTTTATGTTTCTTTAACTGATACGGTTTACCAAATGCAGCACCACAAATATCACAAATATTTCGCTTTATCTGAAGATGCACGGCTTTGTGTGAAGCCAAGTCGCTGAGACATGGAAATTTCTTGGGACAGTCAGGACATTCATACCGTTTAACACCAGTGTGCCGTAAGAGATGCTGTTTCATATTGCTGCGGAAAAAATTATTTTAAACAATTTTGAAGCAAAAAAAACAAAAAAAAAAAAAACCGAATACAATTCTCATATACAAATTTTGAAGTTCCGCTAATATCTTAAAGATTCAATGATCGCAACTAAACCAAATAACCGTCGGTAAGAAATTAAAACTACTTTTATTTATTTGCTGCAGGATTTTTAGATGTACCTTGAACTGTTAAATGCTTTCCCACACTCCGAACACAAGAACGGCTGCTCTCCGGTATGTGTGCGTAAGTGATCCTTTAAAGTGCCAGATTGTTGAAAGCCTACAAGCATTGTTCACATTTATACAAAGTTGACAATGTGGTTGTTCACGCTTGCCAGGTTAAAAAGAATTATTTTTAACCAGATAACCAGGCAAGCGAGAACAACCACAATGTAATTTGTTAATAAACTTACTTTTATTGCAAAATTCGCAAACATACAGCTTTATGTCCGTCTGTGGGGTTTTTTCAAAATGCCGTTGTCGTTTATGTCTCGTCAGAGTACGCTGTGAAAGGTATTGCTTTTCACACAAGTCACATGAATAACTGGGATTTTTTCCCTCTGCTTCAGCTTTCTCATCATGTGTCAGCCTATGTTTGTATAATCCTTCAGGTTTGTTGAATCTCCGGTTGCAAATATCACATGCAAGTTGATAATGCTGGTCAGTATTCATTGGCTGAGGGGGCAATTTTTTTCGCTCCTCCCATTTTATATGCCTTTTTAGGTGTCTTTGTAGAAATCGGCGGGATGAAAACGTTTTATTACACAGGTTACAGGTATGTGTGGATGACCTGAAAGTAATATTATATATACAAATATGGAGATCATCTTATTTTTTATTTAGTTATACTCACGCTTCTTTTGCTTGTTCACACCGAACTTTTCTAGATTTGTTCAAATTAACTTTAACTTTCACATCAGTCTTTAAAAGGTTTCTGCCTTTTCTTGCTCTCAGTTTAGGCTTATCGCCTGTCCGATCTCCGTCTAAATCTTCCTTGCTTGAACCCTCCACACTCGTTGTTGACTTGTCTTGGACTGCTGCTCGTGGCCCCGTTTCGATTTTCGTACGTAGGTCTCCAGTTACAGACTTCAAATCTAGCATTGTTTCGTGTGTACTATAGTGATCAGTGCATATATCTTCATCACTTAGCTCCATTTTGAGGTATTCACAAACACGGCTTGGAGTATCGTCTTTACAAGTTGTCCGTGATTCGCAAATGCTTTGTAGCGGGTCATTAGCGCCCGTAAGTGGCTCATCAGGTGCAGTAGTTACAGGCTCACTCCCAATTTCATCATCTCTGACTTCTACAATTGCTTCTATCATTGAAACCTCTGTCGTCATCACTTTATCCTCTGTTATCAGTTTTACATCTGGATATTTTTTAGCTAGTACTTTGCGCATTTCCTGATCTGATTGCATGCACATCTGCTGGAAACGATAGACGCTCACTAATTGCTCCAAACATCCTCGGCACATTTTGTTTGGTAATTCGTCACTGAGGTTGACTTCCAGACACGGGGTAGTGCTAGCTAGTAATTCAATTATGCGCATGTTTCCGCAGTCTGCGACTATATCAAAGATGGGTTTCCACTGTTGCTCAGGTTGCTCGGCAGTTAGTTCAACTGTAGAGGTAACTGCGGCCGCATCAGCCACTTCATGCATGCAAGCTCTACAAAGGAAATCGAAATGCAATTCACTTACTGCGTCCATACCTGCATACTATGTTTGTTTACACAAATTTTATAAATTTGTTTAACTTTTTCTGCGTATTTTTTCAAGAAAAAACAGCTGGGGACGTCGGAAAATCATTGATTCATCGAAAATATCGATGTTTTGTTTCGATAAATCAAAACTTTTCCACACGATGTATTAATTGTAGATGTATCGATGTTTTTTGAAAACTGTCAGTTCCAGTACATTGAAGCTGATGCCACATACATAAAACGTTTGTTTCGCTTTGCGTAGCAGATTCGCTTTGACAGATAAGATGAATTGTATGAAAATGCACAAGGCATGTCACATGGATCGTTAAAGCTGCAGCGCGAAGCGAACAGATGGCAAACTCCCATTATTTTGCGCGTTTTGATTATCAGCCGGTTATTTTGTTTCGTCCAAATTCGAGCTTTCATGTAGAAACATAAAACCTAATAAATCCACAGCAATTTTGACGAGTAAAAAAAAGCAGAACAAAATTGTTTTCTTGGCGTTCATTGTGGCAGACCTTTTGCGTGTGGCGCTTTGCTGGTAAAGTTATAAATGCCACGCAAAGCCACAAAGTTTTATTTGGCATCAGCTTGAGGGTCTTTTTTTTAGTAGACGGCTGTGATTTACGGATCTAAAATGGGGTTTACATAGGACAACTTCGCTTTCTGGGCTGTTTTGGGCACCTGCGGGCTCGTGTGGAACAAACCTAATACATCGATGTATTTTTGTCATTTTTGCCTTCACCGGCCGTGATTACACTATCGATATTTTCCGATACTATCGAGAGCCACTATCAATAGTATCGATATCTCGAAATTTTAAAATGAACATACCAAGGCGAATTTATACAAGGTTGATGGCGAATTAAATTTTCGCTGCGGTACTACTGAATGTCAAAATGATGTGTTTGTTGTAAACAAGGCGAACTCATTCTACAACAAACACATCATTTTGACATTAAAGAGCGAAATACACCACACAAGCGGCTTGTCAAACATTCTTCAAACCTACTTTTCCCATTTCGCCATACACCATGCAAACATGACTCGTTCAAGCAAAGAATTTTAGTTTTCTTCGAGTTCGCAATGCTAAATATTATGGTTTTCTTTCATTTTCCTCTCTTACGTCCTTACTCGGTGAAAATTTCGTTGCGAATGAGGCGAATTTGCTATACACAACGCAAGCGGTTTGATCAAACATCAACATGGCGGCCAGAAAATCAAAAAATTTTGATTTTTGCTCAAATTTCCCTCAAGCGGTTTGTCAAACCTTCAAACACCCCCATACACAGCACAAATGGCTTGAAGCAAAGGGAAATTTCGCTTGGTTTGTCAAACCGCTTGTGTGGTGTATTTCGCTCTTAAGACGTACCTCGGCGAAAACCTAAATTCGCCATCAACACCACCTTGTATAAATTCGCCTTGGAACATACTTATGGACTGCACTGTTCTACACCTTTTTTGCACCAACTGAACACAGCTAATATGAGTTTCACAAGAACATATCATTTTACAGTGTAATTTTCTACAATTTCATCATAAATTATGTCAAATCAACTCTTAATTAGGTATAAGTCACAAGAAACAAGAAAAAATAACAAAAAATTTCGATAGTCCCATCGATAGTTTTCTAGCTCTTCCTCTCGGTTCGATTCGTTACTGGACATTGCTTCCGGCTTATCTCTGGTGGTGATCAGACCATGGGCACCCTTCTCGCCTGATTTATTCGCCTCTTCTGTCCAATGCACTCAGGCTTCTATCCTCGATCTGCACTGCGTTTACATCATCTTGCTACCCACTCTTCGACCGACTGAGGGACACCGACCCCATATAATCATGCTTTTAATCCACTATAGGGTTTTATTGATTCCCGGAACAAGTGCAGAATACCTACATTTCTCTACTTTGAACTTCAATAACACCAGTAATTATTATTTCCCAAAAAAAAAACTTTATACTGTTATGATCAGGAGCCCCCTATCGATCGTAATATAAATTTTTTAAATTTGGAAATTGTAGGTATTCTACATTTAAGCCCAAAGTATGTATCTAACTTTAGAGAAATATTTTGATTTTACATTAGAATTCTAATGTAGTTATCGAATCGAAAATCAGAATTATGTTAGAAATGGATTAGAGATTGATTAGAAAAGCAATAGAAATTAGAAACCAATTCAAGTTTAGATTACGATTAAATATCTAGCCTTTTTCTCGATATTCAGATATTCGATATTCTCCTTTTCGTATAACTCTCGACAGTTTCTATAATCAAGCTCAATACATTGAATCATGGTGTGTAGATACATATCTTTATTATAATCTCTTCAATTTTTTTCATAAAAAAAATAAAATAAAAATGTTTATTCTTCGGTAGTACGATAAGGTTTCTCGTTTATTGGCATTTTCCACCAATTTCACACTGCAACAACAAAACTATGTATATTTTATAAATTTAGTGTTGGCCTTACGGACTGGGCTCTCTGTTGGGCTTAAACTACCGATTTTTGATTGGCTTAGAACGTTTCCTTCGTCCCGCTTCTGCGAATTTCGATAAAATATCAGACTATTTAAAATTTTATTGACGAACTCTACTTGCCTTCCGCTTCATCTTCTTGTATGGTACTTAAAGTAGTACTCGGCGAGCTTTTTGCCTCTTTGGAGCGCCGCGCACGTATACGTTCACTGCCCAATGAGCTGGCAATACTCGCCAAATCATCATCCTTTTCCTCCTGATAAACGAGGTAATAAAGAATTATGTATGTTTGGAAATACTGATAATAAAATGAACAGACTCTCCCCACACTCACCTTATCCTTCATCGAACTTCGCGTTACACGACGCTTCGGTGTGCCTGAAACATTACTTTGGTGTGATGAAATCGATTCGACATCATCGCTGTCCTGCACAGTGGACCGCGAGCTACGGCGCTTGCTGGCGCGCTTCGGTATGGGTGGTGATATGGATGCACCACTGCGCGGTCCCACTGCCGGTGCATTTCTGCTAAGTGCAGCCGATTTCTCCATTATAGCCAGTTGAGTACGTGTCAATCGACGCGCCGATGAGTATAAGGCGGTTTGTGCGTCATTTTCACTTGTTTTAATTGATTTTTCAGTTTCACGTTCGCCCTCTTCTAGTGGCTGCGCAGCATACAGGTTTTCGGTGTTGGCACTCTTCCTACGCGTTGTTTGTCGCAACGCTTAAGGTGTACCCACTTCGCTATTTGCAGCATCGGTCGCAGCGGTGCTACGGCGCGTACGCCGGCCACTCGGCGTAGACGGTTGCTCCGAAATACTGCTCGATATTGAAGAGCGGCGCGTGCGCTTGGCTTGAGACGTCTGTTCGCTACCGCTTACAACCGACGAATCTAATTCGCTCTCGGCAGAATTGAGACGCATGCGCGAACGTGTACGCGTTGAAGGTGAGTCCACTACTGGAGTGCTTTCGTTGATGGCATCGAGCAAATTTGAGCGGCGACGGGTGACAATTTGGGCAGGTGGTGGCACCGATGTGCCTCGTATTGCGCGCACGGGCATACCGCCACTTTCATCTTCATCATGTGGCATGGATACACCGCGCACACTTCGTCGCGTACGCGGCGTGGTGGTTAGAGCAGCGATTTCTTCACTGGATTGTGCTGAGCTGGCGCGTACGTTGCGACGACTGATACCGCGCGTTTCTGGCGTGCCTACAGAAATCTCTTGCTCTTGCTGGACTGTGGTCTGGGGAGGCATCGAGATACCGCGAGTATTGCGACGTGGTGTAATAATTTCGTCAACTGGTGTGCTGATAACCGCGTCTGCTGGCGGTGGCACAGAGGTCCCACGGCGACTGCAACGTGTACGCGTAGGAGTATTCGCTTGCCATTCTTCAGTCTCCTTTGGCAATATGTTTGAGGAAGTGTGTGAGCTTTTAGAAGCATTCTTTTCGTTGGCCTTTTTCGAGGCGGCTTGTTTTTCAGTAACTGAGCTATTGCTCTCCAATGCTTCCTTTATGGGTATCGGGCTTTGCGACGATTGCGTAGACTCTTGTTCAGTGTCCGGCTTCGCTGGTTCAACAATCGCTTGGCCAATATTTTCAAATTCAACAGCTTTTGTTGCAACTTTAACCGACGAATTTTTCTCTGCAGTTGTATTTGCTGCCTCCGCTTTAACTTCTATTCGCTCCGCCTCACTGAGATCGCATTCCTCCACGTGGAGAGTGATTTGCTCCTCCTCAATCGGCTCGTTTTCAGTGTTTTCTGAACCTTGTTGTTGTTGTAGCAGCATACAAATTCCCCAAAGACTTTTTGGGGAGTGTTGCTGGAGTGACAGTCCTTGGCCAGATATAAATCTGGGTCGTTCCGGTTACGTAGACCCGACTGTCGTTCTCCGCATTCCACACTTTTCTGCCCTTTTATTTCTGGCACCCCTGCTGCAACTTTTTCTGTATCTTCGATTTCATTCATCCGCAAATGGATTCGTTCTTGCCCTTTTGCCTCGTCTTTCTCAGTTCCTTCTATATCCTTCGAGCTCGGGACATCATTTGCCAATTCTATTTCAGCTTCTTCATGTCTATCCTTATTTGTGATACATATTCCCACCGCAGAGAAATGCCGTGCATCGTCTATCTTTGGCACATCTCTCTGAATACTTTCAGTGGACTCTTGGACACCTCCGAATTTGTTCTTAGCATACACAGAGCAGGTTGGTTTTTCTTCGTTGTTCAATGTGTCTTGTACTAAGTTCTCTGGTGGTTTTGTAGTAAAATTCGCACTTTGTATAACGGCCTGCTTAGTAGTGCTGGCAGTTTCCATTTCAAAATTTAACTCAATTTTACGCTCCTCCCGAAATTCAAGACTTTCGCTTGTCGTCTCCGCGCCGTAATAAAACACATCAGTGTCCAGCTCCTCGTAGACCTCTTTCGTGGTTTTTGTGTATGCGCTAACGTTTAGCTCTTCAATTGTGATTTCAGCGTCTTTTTGCATAAAGACACTCTTGCTGAAGTAGTTGCACCCAACTTGGCTTCCTTCCTCTGGTTGTTGTTCATCACCGGACTCCTCAAAAACAACAGTTTCACGCATCGCCAGCTCTTCATAATCAGCACAGCTCGAAACGGCCCCTTCAACTACGAATCGGACATCGCTTTCCACTGAAGTGGAAGAATTACTACCATGTAGAGATGTATCTGGGCTTGCCTCCTGGGTATCTTGTGCTTGATTTGCGGTTTCCGGCAATGCGAAAAAAATTGCTTTCAAGACTTGACGTGTCTGAAAGGGGACTAAGTGTAGACAAGCGTCGATGAGGCGTTGTTAATGGTTGCCTTAGAAACTCTGTCGCAGCAGCCGTTTTACGTGGTGTCGTCAACTCGCCCTTCTCTGCTTGTAAATCAAAACCTCTTGCCGTCAAATGACCCGCCGACTTGTTCATCTGCATAAAATAAATAAAATAAAAAGAAAAAAGTATAAAATAAAATGTTACAAAAAAAAAAATTAAAAAAAAAAATTGTTTGAAGGCCAACACAACACGCGGTGTTCCCAAGCGGTCCCCCATCTAAGTACTAACCGCGCCCGACGCTGCTTAATTTCGGTGATCGGACGAGAACCGATGTATTCAGCGTGGTATGGTCGTTGGCAAATTTTGCTTGCCTAAAGTCTTATACATATCGTCGCCTGGGTAAAAGATTGTCGTATGTTACGCATGTACGTATGACGCTTACGACAATATTTTACCGAGGCGAGGATATGTGAATTAATATTGAATAAATGGCTAAAGCATGTGAAAGCAACAACAACTACTATCTATTTATAATATCCACATTTATGCATGTGTATGTACAGACATATATATACATACGTATGGATGCATTTGCATGTACATACAGATATTAAAGCGAAGATTTTGGCATAAATTTAAAGATATTTTACCTTAATGGCACTGCACTTTTGCAAATCAAGTGGTGTGGCAAAAAAATGTACCGAGCACACATAGGGATACTTTGGAGTTGTTTACTTAAACTACCTCCATTAAACTTCCTTTTGGTATCATGGGTTAGATGACTAAGAAGTNAAAAAAATGTACCGAGCACACATAGGGATACTTTGGAGTTGTTTACTTAAACTACTCCTTTAAACTTCCTTTTGGTATCATAGGTGAGATGACGTAAGAAGTTGTGAATGTGTTTGTAAATCGTTTGAATTTCAGGGCAAAGTGGTGAGCCGTTGCTGGCAGGTATAATTCGTAACAACACGAACGCATACCGTGTGTACGCATACATAGCAAACACGCTGTATGGAATAAGTATGCACATACGTTTGTATCATAATTGGTCAAAAATATTTTAATCTTTGTTAAAAATTCTGTGGTCCTGAAAAGGACCGTTTTTTGTTTTATTATCTCTGTATTGTCCGCAAAATTTATTTAACCGCCGAAACCATACAGAGTGCGGCCTTGTCTCTTCAGAGCATATACAACATCCATTGCTGTAACTGTCTTTCTTTTGGCATGTTCGGTATAAGTGACTGCATCACGGATAACATTTTCCAAAAATACCTTCAAAACTCCACGTGTTTCTTCATATATCAAACCAGATATACGTTTCACACCGCCACGACGAGCCAAACGTCTAATAGCTGGCTTGGTAATACCCTGGATGTTATCACGCAAAACTTTACGATGACGCTTGGCACCACCTTTTCCCAAACCTTTACCACCTTTGCCGCGACCAGTCATTTTTTTTTATATGTATATGTATATTTATTCACTAGTAGAGAACACAAACACTGCACTTCACCGAAATCGGTAACACAATTAATGCCTGAACTAAAAAGTGCCTGTATTTATGCAAGAATCTATGTTGCTGAATGAACAACCGAGATACACAAATAGAGTACAAAATATATCTCTATCTCCTTTCGACACGAAAATATTCGCGCACCGTCTTTAAAAGGGGTACAACTCAATATTACACGTTTGTCAGAAAATGCGAAAAACTATTTCTTAGTACATGATAATCATATCGTCAAGGGAGACTTTGTGTAGGTTTTTTTTAACAAATTATAACAAAAATTTTCTCCGGATTTTGCTGAAAGGTAAATAAAAGCTCAGTGTACATTTTTAGCGCATAAATTCAAAAATGACAAATTTTGTGTTGTGTCTCTTTTGAAGACGGTATGTGATGTCTCAACCCCATTATACTACTTTAGCAATGAACGGAAGAAACGTTTTTGTNCGTCAAGGGAGACTTTGTGTAGGTTTTTTTTAACAAATTATAACAAAAATTTTCTCCGGATTTTGCTGAAAGGTAAATAAAAGCTCAGTGTACATTTTTAGCGCATAAATTCAAAAATGACAAATTTTGTGTTGTGTCTCTTTTGAAGACGGTATGTGATGTCTCAACCCCATTATACTACTTTAGCAATGAACGGAAGAAACGTTTTTGTGTATATTATTATTTCCACACCGACGCAAAGGTATTATTTAATATTAGTACAGTGTACAGTGAATCAGTGTCAGTGTTCTTTCTTGAATAAAGTGAATAGTAGAAAATGGCTCGTACAAAGCAAACAGCCCGTAAATCGACTGGTGGTAAGGCACCACGCAAACAATTGGCAACAAAAGCTGCCCGTAAGAGTGCACCAGCGACTGGTGGTGTAAAGAAACCACATCGTTATCGTCCCGGTACAGTGGCTTTGCGTGAAATTCGTCGTTATCAAAAAAGTACTGAATTGTTGATCCGCAAATTGCCATTCCAGCGTTTGGTACGCGAAATTGCCCAGGATTTCAAGACCGATTTACGTTTCCAGAGTTCCGCTGTTATGGCTTTACAAGAAGCAAGTGAAGCATATTTAGTTGGCTTATTTGAAGATACCAATTTGTGCGCCATTCATGCCAAGCGCGTCACAATTATGCCCAAAGACATTCAACTGGCTAGACGTATTCGTGGAGAGCGTGCTTAAATAAATTACGAACGAAAAATCTCAATTTATAAAAAACGGTCCTTTTCAGGACCACAATTTTTTAAACAAAAGATCATCAAAGTTTTAATTATCAAAAATCGTTTCATTTTAAATATACATACATACATATTTACAGCATTAGTATTTTACCTACCGATTTTCACTCGTTTGCGAGTTATAAATTTGTGTACTGTACGTTTTGCATTTCAGTGACGCTGTTAGTTGTATGCATGCGTATGTACACACATACATACATATGTACATATGAATCATTAATATGAATGTTCTTGTGGCTACATATGTATGTATGTATGTGCAATTATTCTGTATCCACTATGTGGCTTATTCGGTTATTGTACATACACGTGTGTAAAAACAGTTTCTAAATAAGGGACAATTTTGGCGCGAAACCAAGAGCTTGGACTCTCGAAGTGGTTGGATTTGCACATATCATAAATGAAAATTTAATCAACTATTTTTAAGAAAATATATTTAATCTCTTTGTAAATGAATTTTGTCGTCCTGAAAAGGACGGTTTTGTTGCGTGGATGAAATGTTTAAATTGACTGCAATGTACACTTTAAGCTTTCTTTTCGGTTTTCTTGGGCAAAAGTACAGCTTGAATGTTAGGCAAAACACCACCTTGAGCAATGGTCACACCAGACAGCAGTTTATTCAATTCCTCATCATTGCGGATGGCCAATTGTAAATGACGTGGAATGATTCTGGTCTTTTTGTTATCACGAGCAGCATTACCAGCCAATTCAAGTACTTCAGCCGCCAAATATTCCATAACAGCAGCTAAATAAACTGGAGCGCCGGCACCAACACGTTCAGCATAGTTGCCTTTGCGCAACAAGCGATGAATACGACCGACGGGAAATTGAAGACCAGCACGGTTAGAACGAGACTTTGCCTTTCCCTTAACTTTGCCACCTTTACCACGACCAGACATTTTTGGTTATTTTTCTTTTATTTTTCACTTCACTAATAAAACACTTCACAGTATGCTCACAAGCAGTATATGCCAGGGCTATCAAGGTGCGCTGCTTATATACTTTTTCATTTGGTTGTCATTCATTTCATGTACTATGTATTTTAATTCGTGTTAGCCTTTTTCGCCGAGTCGTTGCGTTTGCCTGAATGTATTGTCGGAAAAAATGCACTTAAGCGTACACATTTCAAACCTTGTTATAGAGTGACTCAAAAGTGAAGTGAAGTGATTTGAAAAATGCCGCCTAAAACTAGTGGAAAAGCAGCGAAGAAAGCCGGCAAGGCTCAGAAGAATATCACCAAAAATGACAAGAAGAAGAAGCGCAAGAGGAAGGAAAGCTATGCCATCTACATCTACAAAGTTTTGAAGCAAGTACATCCCGATACCGGAATTTCGTCGAAGGCCATGAGCATCATGAACAGTTTTGTGAATGATATCTTTGAGCGTATTGCTGCTGAGGCATCACGTTTAGCCCACTACAACAAACGTTCAACCATTACCAGTCGCGAAATTCAGACTGCCGTACGTCTACTTTTACCTGGTGAATTGGCTAAGCACGCCGTCAGTGAAGGTACCAAGGCTGTCACCAAATATACAAGCTCTAAATAATTTGTCTAACCAAGATGCAGTGAAACAAAGAAATCGGCCCTTCTCAGGGCCACAACATATTAATTAAAGAGATATACAATTTCTGTGTATAAGCGCAAATCAAATATGTATATGTATGTATATGAAAATCAATTCAAGTAAGGGTTATGAATTCCTAAATGTCAATTGCGTTGCATACATACGTACAAAGTAGGTCCATAACGACCAGCTAAAAAAGTTTGACAATGCATTCCATTCCAGAACGCATACGAAATGTTAAAAAAAACGTGCTAAATGATGAAATGTAAAATGGCATTTGACATTTTAAATTTTTTTTTTAAAGAAGCGACGCATACAAATTTTAGTGGTTTGGAATTTTAAAAAATCTAAGATATTTAAAGAAAATAAAATGCCAAATGCCTTTCTACATATGTTAATTTATTTACTTACATATGTGCATTAGATAAAAATTTTTTTTCAGATATCTGATTGTGTAAACAAAGTATTTTTTGATCTTTTTGCCAATAGATTTTGTAGCCCTGAAAAGGGCTTTTTAAGTTTGTTTCGAGAATATGGATTCCGTAAACAAATTTACTTCTTAGCAGCTGTTGCTTTTTTTGCAGCTGGTTTTTTACTAGCGGCAGCTTTCTTTGGCTTGGCAGCGGCCGATTTTGCTTTTGCTGCCTTTGGTTTGGCGGCAGCTGATTTAGCTTTGGCTGGCTTTGCTTTCACTGCACCAGTCTTTTTTGCATCTTTCGCCTTGGCTTTTTCACTTTTCTTCTTTTCAGCTGTTTTCTTGCTAGCGACGGCTTTTGAAGGCCAACAACACGCGGTGAAGGCCAACAACACGCGGTGTTCCCAAGCGGTCCCCCATCTAAGTACTAACCGCGCCCGACGCTGCTTAATTTCGGTGATCGGACGAGAACCGATGTATTCAGCGTGGTATGGTCGTTGGCAAATTTTGCTTGCCTAAAGTCTTATACATATCGTCGCCTGGGTAAAAGATTGTCGTATGTTACGCATGTACGTATGACGCTTACGACAATATTTTACCGAGGCGAGGATATGTGAATTAATATTGAATAAATGGCTAAAGCATGTGAAAGCAACAACAACTACTATCTATTTATAATATCCACATTTATGCATGTGTATGTACATACATACATATATGTACGTATGGATGAATTTGCATGTACATACAGATATTAAAGCGAAGATTTTGGCATAAATTTAAAGATATTTTACCTTAATGGCACTGCACTTTTGCAAATCAAGTGGTGTGGCAAAAAAATGTACCGAGCACACATAGGGATACTTTGGAGTTGTTTACTTAAACTACCTCCATTAAACTTCCTTTTGGTATCATGGGTTAGATGACTAAGAAGTTGTGAATGTGTTTGTAAATCGTTTGAATTTCAGAGGAAAGTGGTGAGCCGTTGCTGGCAGGTATAATTCGTAACAACACGAACGCATACCGTGTGTACGCATACATAGCAAACACGCTGTATGGAATAAGTATGCACATTTATTTATTATTATTTATTTATTATTTGTAAAATTACAAAATAGTATGATTTGTATTTAATTGGTCAAAAATATTTTAATCTTTGTTAAAAATTCTGTGGTCCTGAAAAGGACCGTTTTTTGTTTTATTATGTTTCTATTGTCCGCAAAATTTATTTAACCGCCGAAACCATACAGAGTGCGGCCTTGTCTCTTCAGAGCATATACAACATCCATTGCTGTAACTGTCTTTCTTTTGGCATGTTCGGTATAAGTGACTGCATCACGGATAACATTTTCCAAAAATACCTTCAAAACTCCACGTGTTTCTTCATATATCAAACCAGATATACGTTTCACACCGCCACGACGAGCCAAACGTCTAATAGCTGGCTTGGTAATACCCTGGATGTTATCACGCAAAACTTTACGATGACGCTTGGCACCACCTTTTCCCAAACCTTTACCACCTTTGCCGCGACCAGTCATTTTTTTTTATATGTATATGTATATTTATTCACTAGTAGAGAACACAAACACTGCACTTCACCGAAATCGGTAACACAATTAATGCCTGAACTAAAAAGTGCCTGTATTTATACAAGAATCGTATGTTGCCGAATGAACAACCAAGATACACAAATAGAGTACAAAATATATCTCTATCTCGTTTCGACACGAAAATATTCGCGCACCGTCTTCAAAAGGAACGCAACTCAAAATTACACGTTTGTCAGAAAATGCGAAAAACTATTTCTTAGCACATGATAATCATATCA